GATTTGACTGGTTTTTTTTGCAGTGGATCCGTCGGACTTTGGGGGAGATAGGGGTTGCGATATGTAAACAAGCCAGATCACTTTGCTTACCATGTACGAATACAATTTCCCACTGAAAGGGCTCCTCTCTTTCCCCCCTTTTCGCAGGCTGGCTTTAGTCAGTAAAGTCGGAGTTCAACATGTCGGGCTCCGGGATCACTATCGAGAGTCCGATCTCTCACAATGACGCCAATCCGCAGCTCTAGCACGACGCATAATGTTGAACGGCCAGATCCATATTTACGAGACTAACAGTTAGCTAGCGGAAACAACTCTTCAGTATCACTGCGTGTTTCCACGTGCAGTTCATGAGACGGTTCATAATTCTAGATCTGTTCCCCCCCCTATCTCCAGCCCCATCCCGTCTGTGTCCCTTCCCACACCTTCGGGCTCTCGAAGGCATGCGACCGGCTGGTGGAAACTCAGGCCGCTGAGTCAGTCTGTCCACCTTCGACCGCTTTCGCCGCCAGCAGCACGCGGATCCTCCCCGCACCGACACGCCGAACTCTGAGAAAGATCTGCTGGGTTGGCCCCGGCCCGACTCCCAAGCTTTCTTAGGACGTGATTCCAGAACAGCCCGTTGACGTGTTTTGCTCTCAGAATTTTGGTAAGCATTCACACCGTCGCCTTGGCAAGCATCAACTCCGCACACCGAGTAGAGTAGAGTTTGCACTGCGTCACTGAAACTTTGGCTATTTCGTCCGGATTTCGCACTGAGCGGCCCCCATCCCCTGAATTGGTCGATGTTGAGAGAGAATAGAGGTGTCCTTCGACCCATTGCTCCGGGTTCCCGTCCGCAACCCTCTCACTCCTTCTTGACACCCACTTTGCCGATCTTTCTGAGTCCCCAAATGGTCACCAGCAGGGTTGCGCCGTACAGCGCGAAGCAATACCAGAACGAAGCCCGATAGCCCTCCAGCAGCGCCGTTGGGCTCTCCTTGTCCGCCACGCCTGACTTGGCCGTCACGGCACTCGCAATCGCGCCCGACGACGCCAACCCCACGCTTTTGCCGATCTGGGCGATGGTGTTGTACACGCCGCCCGCAACACCTTGCGTCCTCGACGGGAACAGCGAGGTGATCAGCAGGTTCGAGATAGTGAAGAGCGTATCCGCGCCGATGGCGTTCATGAACATGGCCCAGAAGATGCAGTACCAGTAGTTCCACGCCGGGTCCGCAACGGCCATCAGGATCGGGGACAGCGCCGCAAGGGCCACGGCGATGAGGATCGCGAGGTCGGCCCGGACGCGGTGCACCACGAGCCCGGCGACGACGTTGGCGAGCACGCCGCCCACCGGGGCCGGGAGGAAGCGGACCGAGGTGTCGATCGCCGAGAGCCGCTGCACGTACTGCAGGTAGAAGGAGCTCAGCTGCTCCGTCGCGTTGAAGGCGCCCCAGACCATGAAGACGCTGACGCAGATGCTGGTGAAGCTGCGGTTCTTCCAGAGAGAGTTCGGGATGATGGCCGGGCGGCCGAGGCGCTCTTGCCGCTCGACCCATCCGATGAAGCTGCCGATCAAGACACCCGAGACGACCAAGAGAGCAATGTTGGCTGGTTTCTTGATGTCACTCAGGCTCTCGGTCATGACGCTGGAGGGGCGGGTTAGTTCGTCTCCTCGTCTCATCTTTGGGTTTTGCCGATCGTCGCAGGGCTGGACTTACGCAAGAACATAGGAGACCATCGCCAGGAAGCCGCTCGCCAGGAACGCCCCGATCCAATCCACCTCGGTCAGGAAGCGGTTCCATGTCACCGGTTCGCGCTTCCCGATACTCGGCAGCCACTTGAGGGCGATGAGGAAGATGACAGTGTTGATGATGGCCGCGATGTGGAAGCCCCATCTCCAGCCGATGGTGTCTGTGAAGACACCGCCGACACTGAGACCGACGGAGAACCCGATGGGCTGGCCGCCGCCCATGGAGGCGAACGCTATGTTGCGTCGCTTGCCTGAGGGGAATGCGTGTGTGATGATACTGACGGCGGATGGCAGACACATGGAAATCGCGATGCCGGCAAAGGCGCGGAACATGATCAGCTGGATTCCCGTCTTGGCCAGGCCGCAGGCTAGGGTGAAGGCCGATTGGAGGAAGCATCCCAAGAGATAGAGTTGCCGAGCTCCGAACAGATCGGCCATGGCACCTGACAGGAGCAGAGTGCAACCGCAGGTCAGGGCGTACACCGAGGCAGGCCTTCACGGGGTGTTAGCAATGGTTCACCGGCAGGATATTGCTAAGGCTCATACCAAAGTAGCAAGTTGCCTTCAAGATTCACATCCTTCGCCATTGCAGGGATGCAGACGGTAACAACACCAGCCAAGAGGGAGCTGATGCCGGTGATACACGTCACCGATGAGATGACAACCACCGTCTTGCCCTTGGAGATGTCTTCATGCTGGGCATCTTCTGCGGGAAACACAGGTTGGTTGGGTCTCGATGTAATTGACGATGAGGCCGAAAGTTCCGCCAGAGGCGACGCTGGAGCGTTGATAACCTCAACCGTAGTTGTCGACATTGTCAACCCTGACTCAATTCACAACGTTGCACTAGGTCGTGACCAGGAAGACTACCCTTTTCACCAGACAGAAGATCACTCAGAAACTGCTAGTCCTCCAGCACCATATCACCATATAGACCCAGCGAGCCGGTTACCCGGCGTAGAAATACTTCATTGTGCAAAATTTCGACCGATGTGCCCGAGATCGGCCGAGCGTGGAGCCCCGGAAGAGCCCCATGTTCGGATGTGTAAAAATGGAACCATTCAGTCTGTAATGAGGAAAAATTACTTAATAGTTTGCGGATCCGTCAGGGTGTCACGGCTTTTTAGCATACGTCAAGGGCGCAAAGGGCGTGCGCGACATATGGCGCCAACATTTGTTGGTTTTGAAATTTCTTAATGTCCGTCGGGGTTTTGTAGTTGCGATGGCCATGACTCAACCAAGTCGGTATTTTCAACGCGCTCATGGTGTTTCTTGCATTCAAAGAGTCATTCACGCGATTGTTGGCGGTTAATAAAAAAAAATGAGCAGAACTTGCATCAGCATGTGCTTTCCATTAAAAAGTGTAACTTCATTCCTGCTTAGAAGTTAGCTGGGCTTTTCTGTCTTGAAAAAAAGGTGAGGCGAAGATGAGGATATGAGCATGACTGCCACCACATCAGCCTAGCGGCCGACGTAGTACTGATACATCTCAGCCCAAAACTTTTCAGTACTTTCGCCCACAAATTGTCATCAGAGGGAGTCTCAAGAAATGCAGAACTTCCTCATCATCTTGAAGCTGTTTGTCACAGCAGTCATTTCACTCTTCAGGGCAATTGTAGCGGATCGATGCAGGACTTGAGAACAAGCAGTTACTTTGGGCGAATAAGGTCAGAATGTCTTTGGCTTTCCTTTAGCAATATAATTTCACTGTAGCGTCGATTACAAACAGGTTGATACTGTTCATGTACTCTACATGGAACAGAAACTAGAAGAGGAAAATACAACGAAACCCTACATTAGGTGCACCTTTATTAGTCAAATACATGCATTATTTGGTCTGAAGAATATGTCCTCAAATATGCATTGTGCCAACACCCAGCATCGAGAACAGAGTAATTTTGGCTATTTTGATAACTCGTAAAAACAAAGTGAAGCATGCCATATCTTCAAGGTCCAGTGCTGGTGGTGCCACAGGGCTTTAATAGAGATTTGGGGAGTCATAAGTCCTTTTCTATTGTAGTTCAGGAGTACGTTGATAATCTCGGGGATAGCGATGTGCTCATATTTCGCACGTAAAGACAAGCTACACAACGAGAGGGATTCGCTAATGAGCCAAACTAGAAGGAAACGTAGTGTGGGGAAACCAGGCCATGAAATTCCTTGTACTGATACGCTTCGACTCCCCGCTGGAAAGCCTTGTCTCCTCCTATGAAATTGCGCTGGCTCCTGTACAAGCCCTACCTGGTTACTAACACTAAAGACATCCACTAAGACTCAGATATGACATCGTCCGCGTTTTCACAATTTAACAGAAGCCAGCGTTAGCTAACGACCCGGACGCGCAGGAGACTAGAGCTTGAGGCTGCATGAACTACCGCGAAGCTTACACGATGCTCACGTGTATTTGCATCTGAATCACGATTGCATCACCGTCCGCACTTAAAATGATCATTTTGCCTCCCCACAAGAAAGCATGACGCCTACAGGGCATCTCTCGTAGCAATCGAAACACCAAGCGGCGTACCGTACGGACTGTCTGTAGACGTGCTTGACCCCTAAGTGCCTGAATAAACTAGGGTTGAGCAACCAATCACATAGCTCGCCCTGGCCAAGCACGGCATTTCCTGCTTATTGGGCTGCATGGAGAATACCAAGCTTCTAGGAAGGTTGTATCGTACGCAGTCGGGCTTTTCGCACCACCCGTAATCCTGGTCTTCCACAGCAGCGGGGGCGGCCGTCGCGTTCGCATTCGTACCAGGGCACCCATGCCCCGCCGTGAGATCTGGGACGAACCCCCAATTCACCTCTTGTTCTGTGCAAAGCCCATACATCAACTCATGGGAATCAAAGAATCGCATTCTGGAGCAGAAGTTGGCGCAGTATATACAGGCTTTGGCTATGATCAGGCGAGGCGTTCTTCATGGGTTCGCACACTTTAAAGCTCGCCAAGGCGTCGACTTCCTGTTGCTCAAGTGGGTCGCTCTCGCGTTCGCTTTCGTACGCCACGCTAATCTCGGGATCTTGCCTCTTAACCCCGTCAAGCCTCCAACATCTGGGGATAGGATCTGATCATTGCCCGATGCGCAGAAGTCGGAAGAGAGAGCTAAGACTTCTACAGAGTTCTCCCTAACTTGGCGAGATTTTTCTCTGATTGTTTTGCTTCTCCCGTGCTTCATCGTATCATCCATCCGACAACATCATCACCATCGACAACAACAAGCATCCAAAGCTTCGACGACAAAGTCATTGCTGTGGCACCAGAACCAGAATGGCACAGCCCAATCCAAAATGCGACGACGAAAGTCGCGTTCAGGATGACGCTGATGCTGAGCACCACTTCAATGTTTTCAATCAGCCCAAACGACTGCCCGCATGGCTCGATCACTTCAACGCGAAAGACCTCAAGGTCCTATTCAAATGCTCCTTGGCAGTTTGGATCCTTACTCTCTTCATTTTCATTAAAGCCACGTTGGCTGTCATCGGGCAGGCTGTCTTCTTCGGATGGTGGGATTTGTGTAGTCTTTTCTTTCCTCGTCCGGGGTACTAACCGAAGTCATAGTATCGTTCTCTTCATGATGCCGCCATCTGGCGTTGTCCTCATCCATATCCTGAGCGGCCTGATGATCTGCGTTGGTCTTGCAATAGGGTGGGCTTGGGGTACGATCACGATGAAAGCCGCGCTGGCTACACGGCCCCAAGCAGACTTGATGAGGCAGTTTCAGGAATTGCAACAGTCGCCGAACGCGAGAGAACCCAACTTTTTGCAAATCGCCATATTCGAGGGTCGTCTGCTTGACGTACGAGTCACGGCAACATACTTCTGCATGATGGGGTTGTTTGTCTATCTAATGGTGAGTCTGGCGGTAGCATTTGAGCCGGTACGTAAGCATGCTAACTGGGAATTAGGCTCGTATCCGAGTCGCCGCGCCAAACATGACACTGGTCGGCATCTTCGCCCTCATCACCGCCGATATCTACCTCACGAGTGCTCCCACGATCCCGACATTCCAAGGAACGATCCCCAAGAGCATGCTGATCCCGGTTGGAATTGCCGTGGGTATTGGTGCATTCTGCAATATTGCCATATTCCCGCAGTCTACGTCAGAAATCGTGCTGGACGGTATGGCGGACCTGGTGAGCCCCATGAAGGGTTTCGTCAAGGCCCTGACTTGGCAGCTCGCAAACCGCCAGAGCCGATTTAGTTTGGATCGACTGTTGCAGTTGAAGAGTCAACTAGCGATGGCGCACAAGAGTCTTGGGTCGTCCGTCGGATTCCTGGCCTTGGACTTTTCTTTCCGTAAATGGAGTCCTGAGGATGTTAAGTCCCTACAGGACCCGCTCCGACAGGTTTCTGTTGCCTTCAACGGACTTTTGCAGCTGTTTGTTACCATGGAAGAGAAGAGTCTCAAAGCCAGTGCTCTCACCGAAGCTGCCATGGCTCTCGAGGACCAAAAGGACTCTGGTAACAAACAGCGCCCGCTCGCTTATCACATCGCCAGAGCAATCGATCTCCGCGACAGTGTCAAACATCCAGACACGGAAAAAATGCTGGAAAGGACGTTAGATGTAATATCATCAACCGCCCAGCCTTTGTTGGGTGCGTTGGGTCAAGCTCTGGACGCCATCGTGTCTGCACTCCAAGGAGTGTCGACATCATCGGCCGACTTGGAGCGCCAGCAAACGCTGGATTTGCTGAACGAGGCACTGATCGACTTTGAAGCATCCACTCAGCAGCTTACGGCCCTGCACTCACATCTATTCGACGCCGATGGTAGAGTTATTTACGACCAGAATGGTCAGGTGCCTCCGCTATACGGTCTGATGACGGGACTTTTACTGCAAGAGAGACTCATCAGCCTATCCCGGAAGACCGCGACGATGCTCGAAACAGTAATCAAGATCGACCAGTCCCGACCTCGAAAAAGCCTTTGGTTGCCAAAGGGGTTGCAACGCCTTTTTGGTCTGGGTCTATCCCAAACTGAAACTCCGAGCACAACACAGGGAGCAGTGGACTTGGCTCGAACCATGTCCACAGTCTCACGACCGGAGAAGAAGTCTCGACTTTTTAGTAGAAAGAAGAAGACCAAAGAGAAGACCGACGACCCCAACACGGCGGCCGAACTCATCAAGAGCATGAGGAACCCTACGAGCCGAACGAGAAGCAAGCCAAGCATGATTTTCCTGGGCCTAATTCACTGGTTCACTGACGTCGAAGGCATCCACGCTTTACGCACACTGGTGGTGACCATCGCTTTGGCACTGCCGGCCGTCATCCCATCATCTGCGGGCTTTTATTACCGCGAAAAGGGATTCTGGGCCATGGTAATGGGCCAACTTGCTATCGAGCCGTACATGTCAGACTTGCTGTCTGGAATCATCATCCGAACACTCAGCACAGTGGCGGGTGGCATAATTGGACTAGTCTGCTGGTATATCGGTGCTGGTTCTGGCCCAGGCAATCCATACGGCCTCGCTGCTGTGATGGCTGTGCTGATCATCCCTCTCATGTGGTGGAGGCTTTTCACGCCACCAGAGCACTTAGCCGCGGGCATCATGCTTGCCGCCACTGCATACATGGTTGTTGCATACAGTTGGATCGACTCGCATGTGCCGACCTACGGCAACCCCGGTGTTGGGTATCAGATCTTCTGGCGGCGAGTTCTTCTCGTTCTTGTTGGAAACGCTAGCGCAATGCTCATTGGGCTATTCCCCCGGCCAATGACTGGAAGTCGGCAGTATCGACATATTCTGTCCACATCTTTACTGGGGGTAAAGGACCGCTATGCTCTGCTGGTGTCGACTTGGCGCATGCCTCCTGAGGATCTCGTCCAATTCATCGAGAAGGAGACAGCCATGTGCGATGGAATCTTGGACGCCATTGGTCGGCCTATAGAACTTACCAAGTTCGAGTTCTCTACTTCCAACATCGACACTGAGACGCTTCGGAGGGCGACATACCTATGTAGGAGCATCAACGCAAGTTTGGCAGAGCTCGGTCTCTACATGAACGAGCTGCCACTTCCGCTCCGGGCTCGACTCATGTCTTCCATGAGTATCGACGATGAGAATCTGGTTGTGGATCTAATGTCAACACTATCACTTGTCCAACAGTCTTTAGATTCGGGCGAGCCATTGCCTGCCCTATTGCCAACGCCTCTGATAAGCAGAGCTCTCAGGGCTAGAGAACTTCAACGGGCAAAACAGGATGACTTGAATGTCCGAGAGCAGCTTGAAGGCCACGAGGGCAGGCAGTTGATTGGGGCCATCAACGCCTTCACACGCTTCCTTGGCGCGGTTGATGATCTCGTGATGGTGACTAAGAAGGCAGTCGGAGAGACATCTCATGTCGACTTGGAAATATTTGGAAAGGGCGTATAATTGGGGCTGTTCAGAAATCGAGACGTTCGGCAATTGAGGTCATATGGGTGATGCAGCATGAAATGAAACGTAAGCCAGCATTTGAATACACGTTAGTTAGTAACTTGAACATTACATGTGATGATGTATTTGATTGTTTTTGCGTCAGTCGCGGCCACTATTTGGTATTTGCTTTGCTGGGACGAAGCCGAGGCAGTGTTAGAGACGACCGTTACTCCCCCCGCTCTTCAATGCCACTTCCATAGATGCTTGTGCCGCAGAATATTTTTAGATTTCTTCATATACCTGTCCAAAGATATGTTACCAACGGCCCTCCATGGACCTAGACTATCGATTAAAATGCTGCTATGACCGGTTTGATAAGCCGCAGTGCCGCCGTACGCTGGGAAGCGTGCCGTCGTTCGCACACCGCGCTTTTTTGAAAGTCTTTTGGCCAATAAACCGAATTCATGCACTCCTTTACTGATTATGTCGCCGTTAAGCTAAACGTTGTCTCTTCACGTGATAAAAGGCAGGCACGGCCATATCACCATTTGACGGCCCTGAATTCCTTCGATCCTTCCTCATCCCGAACCTCCTCCACAAAAGGCTTGGGTTTCCATGGCCCAGGCTTCCCGATCTGATTGGGCGCGTACGATATGATGACAGAGGATTTAAAAGAGGAAATATTGGGATACCAACCTTGGTAGGGGTCGTAGGACTGAAGCTCGAGGAGCGTTTTCCGCATGGCCCTCGTGCTGAGCCCACGTAAAGATCGGAGGCACTGCTGTCGACTCTGATATTGTCCCACTCGCAAAAGTCCCACCAGAGGCCGGACTCCAGCCGAGAGCTTGTGCCATATCCAGCAGAATTCATCCAACCGAGTCCAATCTTCGTGCTGACATATAGTTTTCAGTGAAGCCACTGCCCTGAGGCCTCCAGGAGCCTTGATGAAAAGAAGTTCTTGATCGCCGCTGCCGCCTTCGCCCACACAAGTGATGCGATAGAGTGGTGATGGAACCCGCCAGGCAACAACTTGAGCTGACTGGAGAAGGCCTACCTTGGCCAGCTTGTTGACTACTGATAAAGGCATCCTCTCAAAATCACCAATGCCCAAACTCGGGCTTAGATCCTGGAGCCAGGCACGTTCTCGGAAATCCAACGGTCCCAATCTCCCGTCATGGTACAGGCCTCTTTGCATAAGGGCGGCTGAGCGTGACAATACCGCGGGGTTCTCGAGGGAAGCTTGCACGCTTGGCAATGACAAAGACTCACTCAAAAGTCGGACACTTTCTGGCCACAGTGCATACGGTCGATTATCAATGGCTTGAACTTCGACCACCTTACGCACAGCGTATCTGAGACGAGGTGCGAGGGCCATGCAAAGCCAACTCCCAAGGGACCGGAGAAAAGCCCCCGGTCTCATGATCAGGTCACTACCTTGCGCCCACACGGCCTCGATACGTCCATCGCTGCCCCAGAGCTTTGAGACACCGTCGTGGACAACTCGCGCAACTCTATCGAGCAACCGCGTCTCCTCGGCCGTGTCCAAAACCTCGCCATGACGAAGGACGCATTGGCAACAGATCTCGAAGATCAAGATCGGAAGCTTGTCGCGGGCCACACTGAGGGCGGTTGGGTTTCTAAGCTTCCACGGAAACACAAAGTCAACATCATTGCCTTCCATTAGACGGTCTTCTCTTGCAACGCCTATCAACTCGGCTTCGTGAACTAGCTCTCCGATTGCCATCACGTCCACCGGATGAAGCTGCTGTTGCGGCCATCTCGTTACTGGGTCATTGAAAGAGCGTTCGACGTAATCAATCAAGCGCTCGGAATGCTCCGTTGGGTTGATGTCGTTTACGGTACAGTCGACTTTGGCGTTCATGAAGCGGAGGTAGACGGCGACCCGTGGCAAGGTGAAGCAGGTCATCGGAAAGCATACGTCGAATTGAAGCCACCAATTGGCCGATGATGATGCCTTCATGCGCGAGAAAAGAATTGTGGAAAGTAGTGCTGGTGAGATTCAAGGCTAGAATGTCTCGGGGTTGTATCATTTTAAAAATCATAAGGATGATCTCCGGTGGCATCCGATCCAACTTCATCTTACCCTGAGCAGACGCGTTCTACTTGTTTGAGTTGACTAGTTCGTATCTCTTCGTGGAGAAATATTGATGGATTGAAAGTCGGTATGATTGCAAAACGAAAGCTTTCAGGGGTGGCGGCTAGAAGAAATAGAAAAGAAAAAAGAAAAGGAGCTTGCAAGAACACCTTGGTGAGTTGAGCTATGGATTGTCACTAGGCCAATGGATGGTTGTTCTAACGAAGCCGAACACGCCACATCCATTTTCTTTTTCTCGAATGACACACTTCTGCGGTTGGCAAGACATCAGGGTAGAGTTGTCGCTCTCGTGAAAGCAGCCAACTTGCGTGACATTTGACACCCCACTAATTGGGTACAGCTGGACTTCTGTGTGGGATAGACAGCAATCAGCAAGGATTGACGTGTTTTGTCACCAACAGCAAATAAGCGCTTAAGTGCGATTCAAGAAAAATTAACCAATGCTGGAGGGTTTCGTGTTTTACTGGCGCGCCTTTAAGGGGGCTCCCTACTTACGCTCCAACCCTCCTCAACACACACCTGATGATTCGACACTTAACACGCTGTGGAAAAGTGCCTGTAGCTTGACGATACAGTGTGAGAGCGTCCATTTCATTGCTTTCGTAGGCAAAGCGAAAATCACTAAGCAACTTCGCTGGAATGTCCCCTATATTTAGTTCTGGCGTCATCTGTCTAGCACCGAAGCTTACCCGACTCAAAGCGACCAGGGCCTACAACAGTTGTCTGGGTCCACGGACTGGCGATTGTGAATGGATATCGAAGAAGCGGATGTTGGGAGAATGGTTGGTTGAAAATGTACCCCTCTTGAGAGTTATATGCGGTTTATCGCACCAAGGCAAGAACGGAGTGCCCCTCTTATCATGCGAATCATATTGCATCAATGACGCCCAGTTGGGAGTCGTTGCAGTGGAGATTTCTTCCATCATTTTCTCCATCCCTCATGCGGGGTAGGAACTGACAAGATAATAATTGAATCTGTGCCTCCAAGCAGCAACTATGGAAGCATTCGGACTTGTGTCAAGCGTAATCACAGTCGTCGAGACGTCCTGGAAGGTCATAGGCTTCCTCGAGGGCGTCAAACACGGCGGCAAGTCTCGCCGAGCCCTTCTTGAGGAAGTAACACTCCTTTGGCTTGTCTTCCGGCGCCTCAAAGAAGAGATCGATCTGCCAACGGGAAAACAGGCCCATGAGCCTTGGGTTGAGCCTCTGAAAATCCTTGACGGCCCCCGAGGCATTTCAGCGCAAATTCGCGAGCAGTTGAATGATCTTGAAGCGCAGCTTACGCCACCAATCGGGCGATTCCACGAAGCCATGTCGAATCTTCGATGGCCGTTTCAAGAAAAAGAAGTCACGCGAATAGTCTCCCGACTGCAAGAACTGAAGCAGACGACCATCTTGGTTATACAGCAGTCCGGCCACCGCATGAGTCGCGAGATGCAGGGGGAGCTATCATGTATCAAAAATGTCGTCGAAGACACCTTTCTCAAGAAACTTCTGGCTTGGCTCACGCCCCTAAACTTTTCGCAGAAACAACAGGAGATTCTCGGCTCTGCAGATCCGTACACTTGTCATGTTCTCACATCGAAGCGTTTTAAGCTGTGGCACGAGCATGACCTCAGGTCTTTGTGGTGCTGGGGCGCTCCCGGAGCCGGCAAGTCCGTCGTTGCGGCCTCGGTGTATGCAGATGTGACGAAAAGGCACGCCGCCAAAAACGTCGCAGTCATGATAGGCTTCTGCAGTTTCGAGTATAAGGAGTCGCAGTCACCTCGAAGTGTTATCGCGAGCTTTTTGAAGCAGGTACTGCAAACGCGATACGACAGGCAGGCTCCCTCTAAGTTGAAAGAGCATTATTCAAGAGCAGTTGCTGGCGCAGACAGTCAACCGCTAAGTCTTGAGGCTCTAACCGATTTACTTAGAGAAGAGCTGAGCACACGCGACGAAAGCTATGTTATCCTCGACGGACTCGACGAGGTGAGCAACCTCTCTGAGAGAGATTCTATGGTCAAAGCGATCCACAACATCGGGGCCAGTGTCAAGGTTTTCATCACCTCACGACATTCGGAAGACATCACTGAGGCCATTGAAGCAACGCAGACCTGCAAAGAGTGCCATGATTCGAATGCGGAGGTATACTGGAGGTCCATTAATTGCGCGTCTTATGTAATTTGCGACCATTGCCAATCCTCCGCAGTTTTCAAAGGTGAAACCAAGCACCAAATGGCAAGGGAGTGCAAGTGGGAAAACATGGAATACAAGCCGAGAGAGAGCGATATATGCAGCTACGTGGCGACAAGATTCGACACCGACAGAGAGTTACGACGACTCATAGGCCATGATTCAGGCCAAGACTCTCTAAGGAAATTGGCAATAAACACTGTTACGGAAAGGTCGGAGAAGATGTCAGTACATTTCCCAACTCATCGAGAGCCAGCCCGAAGATTCCATGTTCAGTGCTCTCAAATACCCAGTGAATGACATTTCACACCATGACTAATATGCTGGTTTAATAGCTTCCTTCTGGCTCGCCTTCATGTGGACTCACTGGTTGAGTGCCTCACACTGGGTGCGCTTCGACGAGCCCTGAGAGATCTGACCGGAGACTTGGATCAGATGTATACTAAGAGTCTTGAGCGCATGGAGCAATCCCTTCGCCCGAAGCATTACGGAATCCTCAAGAAACTGCTCCTCTGGATCGCGTGGGGACAGAGGCCGCTGAGTATTAGCGAGCTTGGCCATGCTCTTGCTATATACCCGGGCATTGAGGACATTGATGAAGAAGACATTCTTCCCATCCGACAGATCGCAACATGGAGTGCCGGACTACTATTTGTCGACGGCGACGACTTTCTGCGCGTGATCCACCCCACAACAAGCCGGTTCTTCGAGGGACGTAGGCATGAGCTGTATCCTAAGGGGGATAGCGTCATGGCCCACGATTGTCTACATTACCTCAACATGAAGACTCTTCGAGCACCCCTTGAAGGCCCCGACAGAAGGTCTCTGTTTATCATTCGGCGCAAGCAATACCCACTAATCGACTATGCGGTACTCAACTGTTTCAAACACGTTGCAAGAAGCCGGGAGAAAGGCGAGATCAAGCCCACAGTGGAATTCTTACTGTCAGATGCCCTGAAGCCCTTCATTCAGGCGCTGCACTACGTCGACGCGGAGTGGACAGATGACACGGACGCTTCTGCACTGCATGTTGCAGTCTACTTCGGAATCACGGATGTTGTATCTAAGCTCATTGACGAGGGTGAGGACCCCAACGCCCGGGATTCGTTTGGTGCTACACCACTCATGTACGCTGCCGCTCGGGGTAGCGATGGCTTACCTGAGTTGAAGCGCCTCCTTGAAGCCGGGGCCGATCCCGCTCTTATTTGCAACTTTGGATCGACGACCCTGATAAGAGCGGTCAAGCTCGGTGCCGTGACTCTTGTCGCGGAACTCATGCGCCAAACCGACATCAACATCAATGCAACCCCTTCAAGCATAGCGGTTCATTCTGCACTCATAACAGCGACCAGATTGATCGACCCCTCCATCATCAAGATGCTCGTGGCTCGGCAAGACATCGACATCAACCTGCGAAACCGCCACAAAGTGGGAGAATGCACCCCGCTGCACGCGGCCGTTTACTGGCGGAACCTCCCAGCAGCCGAACACCTCCTCGCCCACAAGGACATCAAAGTCGACAGTCGCGACCTGGCGCGCAATGAGACGCCATTCTTCTACAGCGCCCGCGTCGGACTCACGGATTTTATGGAGCTGCTCCTCGATCACGGAGCCAACATCAATGAACAGGACAACAACAGCGGCAACGCGCTCATGCGCGCGGTTGACTACGACGAGAGTGAGGCGGTCGAGCTGTTGGTCAAGCGCGGCATCGACACCACGCATCGGGATGTTTACGGTCGGACTGCGCTGCACTCATCATCTTGTAATCGGTCGTGGCGCAGTATGGAATACCTCCTTAACGTCACGGACCTTGACGTTAACCTGCGAGGGCGCTCTGGAGAATCACCCCTACATGACAGCGCCTGGAAGCTCGATGCCCGGGGAGCGAGCATCTTAGTTAACGCGGGCGCGCGGTGCGACATCAAGAATAGCGACGGGCAGACTCCCGTCGACATCGTCATGTTGAGGAACAGGCCCGACATACTGGATATCCTGAGACGGGCCAAGGGCTATATTGAGAGTGCGCCCGACTCCCGCCTCCAGAGCAGCCTGAGCGACGCCGTCATCGGCGACCCGTCCGACGTGCTACGATCCAGAATCGCGAAGGCAACCCTGCAGGAAATCAACGCGAGCTCCGCCTTCGCTGGCACCGCGCTACATGAAGCATGCCGACACGGCCGTGCGGACGTCGTCGAAATGCTCCTCCGCGCCGGGGCCGACATGAGCGTGACCAACTCGTTCGAACGCACGCCGATCGACAAAGCCATCAAATATGGCCAGCTGGATTGCATCAAAGTGCTGTTCAAGCACGACGTAGACCCGGAGAGGAGGCTGACAAGCGACGGCCATATGTGGGAGTTCGCGTGCAAGCGGCACCACTTAGATATCGCTCTCGCGCTCGTCGAGGCCGCGAACGTGGATAAGTCGTCCGATTATCTGCAGAAAGCGCTGGATGGTGCGGCTATGGATGATAAGGTTGCTATCACTAGAAGGCTTGTTGAGGCGGGTGCGTCGATGCACCGGAAGATGGAGGCGTACCCGGCCCGAGATCGTGATGAAAGTCAGAAGGCGATGGAGATATTGGAGTACTTTTCTACGCTAGAAGTTGACCAGCCTTCATCATTCTAACGTAGCATAGATGATGTGGGTGTCTGTCTGTGTTTTGCATGGCCTCTATCCGTCCCTGG